CCAGTGAACACTACTGAATGGAATGTGGAAGAATAGAGAGCAATTTCATTGCCCTTCCGATGCTGCTGCATGGAGTTGTTTTTCCTATTACCAGATACTTAATCACTACACGTGTCTATGAACAGCTCTGGTTGCTAAGGTCAAAATGAGATTACTTTGTCCTTGCAGCCCAGGCCAAGAAGCTTGCCTGTTATTTATTCCATTTGTAGTTGCTGCTTGCCTGGTGAAAGAGTAGACCTACAGAAGTGAGAATTAATGCTACTACTTTCTTAATACTATTATTAATGCCACTGCATCCTCCTTAAGACTTCTGTATTCCTTCAGCACAAGCAAGTCCATATCCATACAGTCTGTGTGTGTGCAAAAAGGCATAACAGTTCTGCAATCTGTTTTTCATAGAATGTGCTGTGCTGTGCAGCAGTTCAAAATGTGGCTGATTTGCTTAAGTGTACCATTGACTCCTGGGATTTCCAGACATGCAGGGACTGAAGAAACAAGGCATGTCTATCTAGGTTTCTCCACTGCCAATTGCCACCACTTGGAAAGATACCGTGCTTGGAAACCTGCTGTTTAGGAGACTCTGGTCTTTCTTCCTCCTTGGAAAGAGGAAGAAAACATTCCTGAGCATTGTCTAAGGCATTTAGACCTGCCTAATGATAATGATAAGTGACACAGTTAAGTACCGGTTTGTCCTGTGTTAATGGGTAAAAGTCGGTATTTAGTGCCCTTTATCATATGTATTTACTGAAATTAAATTGCATGGTCTTATTTAAATGACTTGCACAACTTCATGGTTTCACTGAACTATTTTATTATGCAAGTGAACTATTAGATTATGTGCATCAGGGTGCAAAATATCCACAATAGCATAGTGTGTCTGAGAGCTGTGGGTTTTTTTTTTCCTTGTTCTCCCTGCCCTTCTCCCTTTAGTGTGGGATGTTTTTCAGTAGAGCTCCACTATCAGCAGAGGGATGGTCAGCTTCAAAGACACCGCGTTGCCTGCAATCAGATACTGCTTCTGCACCAAGGTCCTCAAGAATCCAATGCAAGAAAAAAAAACTACAGCTGTGTGTTCGGTGTCCAACAGACCTGAAAACTGGGTGTTTGTCAGAGGATAGGTTTGAAGAGGCAATGTCTTCTTGGGCTCCTATCTAGGTCTTGATTCTTCCACAGACAGGGTGCCACTCCGCTGCTTGGCAGTGTGTTGCCTCCTTAAGAGAGTGTTTTCTGAATGTTTTTCAAATGGCACTTTATTTTTTCAAGTTACTCTACTGATATGCATGGACTCTGAAAGGCTGCACCTGCCCCACAGATTGATCTACTGACTTAGCATTAGAAAAGATGTTGTTTTATCGACAACAAAAGAAACAAATGCATGACTTGAGGGCATTGCTAAAGCACAGAAGATTCCATCCTAACTACCATTGTTTTCCATAGTGCTACAATAATTTAAACTGTGCTCTGAAGTTATCTCTAGCTCTGGCCTTCATCTTCTATTCTCTTGTTCGAGTTGGTAAGGTGGCTAATACTTTACAGTCCAGTAAGAAGTCATGGAACTGGTGTTCAGTCTTTCAGTGTAGTAAATTCTTCAGCTTCATGGGGAGTTTTTCCTTTTAATGCAAATGGCATTGCCTTTTCAACAGCATGCTTTTTCCCTTCTGGATCAAATTTGTTAGCAATTTTATGCATCCTAAGACAGGGGAAGAGGAAAATCTTATGTTTTGTAGTGTTTTTGTATGCACAAGCAAACCTTAAAGGCCATATTTGTCATTTAAAGTGTGTTAGCCTCAGACATAAAAGTAGAATTATTGAATAGTTATGGTTGGAAAGGACCTTAAATATAATCCATTTCCAACCCCCAGAATAATAAAGCATTATGACATTGCCCTATCAAGAAAGAAGTTACATCTTACTGTCCAGAATTTTTAGTGTGTTTTGTGCACAAAAGCACATATTTTTAAATACAACCCTTATTTCATGTATAACAGCCATGTGCTGTTCTCTTCTCTCCACACCGTTGTGCTCTTAAAAATGAAAAGCTGTTTTCATTTTGGTTATGGCTTCAATATTGTTCTGGATTACTGCCAGGATTTGGTAGGATCTTATAAAGGACATGCCTTGCCTAGACAGGGTGAGCAGGACTTCACTTGTGAAAGTTGTCCTAATTGTGTCTTCCTCTTCTTGTTGCTCATGGAAATTAGTTTGAGTTCTTGGTTGTTTTCCTCCCCAGCAATACCTGAATTGGTTAGCACATTAGGTGTTGATTTAATCACCTTGGCGCCGTGGGAAGTTCCATCCGGTCTGAACTGAGTGCCAAACTGATCGACTCTCAGTGTAGCAGACATCAAGGTTTCTTCAGGTTGTCTAAACCAGGGTTTCATGTGGGTTAAGCTCTGTTTGCTGCTTTAACACGAGTTTCTCTGTGGCTAAAAGCTTGTATGGAGTGGTTGTAGGACACCCATTTAGAAACACTGTTAAAATCATTATGTTCTTGAAGTCAGGGCTAAGGTTTGGAGATAAGAAGCAGGAGAGCTTAATAGGGCAGGAAGAAGACTCAAATGATACTCCCAGGCAGTCATCAACTCAATGAAGGGACAGAAGGTCTCTTCTTGCTCTGTCTGTCTTGTGGCTGGCAGTTTGTCTGAGGGCGCCAGGGAAATTCCTCTTTGTCCTGACGGTTATGCAGCCCTTAAAGAACACAGAAATTAACCTTTACTGCAGGCCCCAAGTGTCCTTGAAGGCTTTTTGGATAACCAGGTAGTCACGTTCCTGCATGCTTCTGACTTTAAATGATTGAAGTAGAAAAGCAGATGACTACAATTTTTGGTCTTAATACTAAAATAATTCTTGAAATCTGTAGCAGCTAAATGCACTAAATAGCTCACTGTATAGCTGATCCTACAGTCTTTGAGGTTTGTAGTAAAACAAGACGAGGGCATTTAACTTTTTTACTAGCAGTTAACCACTAAGGAGAGATAGAGGAAAATGCATACTGGTATGAGCTGGAATTTTGAACTCAGCCAGCATTCTGCAGGTTTTCTGGTAAGGAATAAGAAGCACCTCCTTTTATGTTCTTTAGCTTGTAAAGTGATACTTATTTTACACTTCTATGGTGTTTCAGCCAGAAGTACAAATAACTTGCTCAGCACAAAACTAAGGTGATGAGCATATGTTTTCTTGAAGTGGGTAGAAAGGGATTAGAATATGATTAGGGATTTATTGTTGAGAGGGATTAAGCAACAGGTGTTTAAGGTCACATCTTTGAAGTGCAGACTTGCTGTTCCAGAGATTTGATGTCTGAACTTCCCCTCCCTTCCTACACTGGAAACATTTCTTGGGAAACCTTTGGTTCTTAAGGCACGGGAAGAAAACCTTAACCATAGCTCCATTATGATCTCAAAAACTACAGTTAGGTTTTCCAAGAACTCCTTTTACCTTCTTGCTTGTTCTTCCATCTTGCATTTAAAGAAATTTTTTTAAAGTCCTAATTTAAAGGACAGTGCTTTAAAAACACAGCTTGAAAGTGGTGTCACTAAGTCATCTTCCCTGGTTCAGTTCTGGGGTCCTGTGGCTTGGAAAGTGCCTTCAGTCATCTTTCTTTGGGAGGATACTCTGTCATGTGGGAGCAGAAGAAAATAAACAACTCTATAAAGATACTTGATGCCTTCATAGAATCATTTAGTTTGGAAAATATCTCTAAGATCAAGTTCAGCCATTAACCTAATATTGCCAGGTCCACCATTAAACTGAAGAAGATTGGTTAAACATTCAGTGTCTCACTTAAAAAGGAGTGCAAAGCTTTGTAATATATTTTACTAAAACTAGCTGAAGCAACTTGTTTTATTCACAGTTCTGTGTTAATTGTAACATTGTTACACACCTGACATTTATCCTAGTGTTTAAACATACATAATTAAGTTGCTAGGAACTGCTGAAGGCCAAAGCTTTGTAGTGAGCAATTCGATTCCTCTCCTACCTCTTTTACCTCTCATTTCTTCAGATGTGTGCCAGGCTCTCTGTAATGTGGAATTTACAAATTGTTGGGAAAATGTCATGAAATCTCATCTGCCTGTACCTTACATGTTTTCTGGCCTTGTAGCATAACTGTACTACACAATCATACATGTTTGGGATTTCTAGATTTGTTTTGGGATTGTTGGGTTTTTTGAGAAGTAGTATAATATTACAAGCTGTATTCAGAACAGTTGGAGATAATCCTTTCCCAATTTTCCATTTTACTGGTCCTTATGCCATTCCCTGCAAGATTAGTTGCTGCTTTTGCATCCTGATTAACTGCTAATAGACTTTTTCTAGTCATTTAACACTCTTGCCTTCTGCATTCAGTGGTAACCTCTTCCCTGCAGTCTAGCGCTATTGCAGTAAATCTACTTATGTTGTTCCTTCACCGACAGCAAGAGCTTATTGAACTCCTGCCCTGTAGAATCATTCAGTACCTGTTCCTGCTGTTTTTGTGTGCTGAATAGATTTTTATGAGGGAAGGAATGAACGTTTATCAGGTTAATGCTGATTGCTTTATAAGAATAATCTGCAGCCTTTTGCCTTTAAAACCTCAGATTAATTCCAGCTCTAATATAAATGGAAGTTAAATTATAAGTCTTAAATTTAATTTAGTCATTAGGGCCTTTCGTAATCCAAGGGATGGCCTGCAGGCAGCTATACTGTGCACCCACAGTAGCTCTTAGTCCAAGAGGGTTTAGGCCTGGAAAGGGTCAGGTCTAAAATACCCTCCTGTTGAACTAGATCTGTCCAGTCTTGTGTTGAGTAAGAAAACCTGTGGAGCAATTTGGTTAAAACAGCAGAATGAGTGCCCCAATTAAGTTTGCTGGTATGATAACATGATTCTAATTGAGGCTTAAGTGTATTTATTATAGAGGTTACGGGAGTGCATCAAAGCGTGGAGACTCTTGTACACAAAGTACTGTGTTAACACCTAGAAGTAACTTTCAATGCATCTTAATGCTTTTTGTTTTTTTCCTTAGATCAACGTTCGAGTTGTTACTATGGATGCAGAGCTGGAGTTTGCCATCCAGCCAAACACTACAGGCAAGCAGCTGTTTGACCAGGTCAGTAAAGGGTTGGTGTGGGCTCTTGTTTAATTTTGGAGTATGCTTTGGACTATAGGGTTTTCTTAAGACTGGATTCCAAACCTATCTTGCTTCTCTCTACCTCCTAATCAAACGGCCCCAGTCTGAACTAAGATATCTAAATTCCATCACAGTAAAAGAAAAAAAGGAAAAAACCCCTTGCAGGTATGTCATGTTCCAGTGAAACCTGTCTTCCTAGCATGCTGGATGATGAACTGTCACAAGGGATCTAAAATATTTAGACAGCATAGGTAGCATGTAAAAATGTACCTCTTGCTTTGAAATACTGCTTAGCTCTTACATAATTCTTAACTTCTAAGGCTGAAATGTTGCTCTTGTGCATAAAACTGTTCAGAATCAGGTCTTCAGGCTGCTGATGAGGGCGTTGGCATGGCTGTATTCATTCAAATGCTGGGTTTGAGGAACCACTTAGCACAGGTGTTTGAGTTTGTCAAAATACTGGAAAACCAGAAGAGTTTGTGATCTCTGTACATCATTTACAGATAACATACCTTGTAAGAAGTGCAGCAGGATGGAGCTGAGATTAGTGCAGTCTGCTTTCAGGGATTCCCAGGGAAGTGGAGGGCATGAGTGGCTCAGACTCTCCTCCTCTAGTGTTTTCTTCCTGTTACTGCTTTAACAATGCACAGGTCTATTTGAAGATGGACCTGCAAAGATCAGATAAAGGCAACTAAAACAAACTGTGTGTTGTGTGTGACACTTTGTTATTATCGACTGAAGTAGCTTGCTGTTATAAAACTGAAGCAAGGCCTAGATTTTAGTAGAAAAAAATTTGCATACTGCTCTTCAACTCAAAAAAAAAATTAAATTACTTCTAGCCATTTCTGCTGCAGACCTGAAAAATAAGAGTTGGTCTATACAGACTTCAGTCACACATTTTAACATGTTCACAAACTGTTGTTTGTACTTCTTCCCTTGTACCCACTAACCTTGATAGCTAAGGGTGGTTGTACTTGAGTAGCTACTGCTACTCAGGTAGGCACTACTGGCTAAACAATATCCATTCCTTCTGAGGTATTGTTGGTACAATTTCTTGTTTCAGTGAGTTAACTACAACTTGCTAGGCCTTATGGCAATTGTGCTTTGAGAAGTACTTAAAAAGAAACCCCCCCAAAAAAACCCCAAAACAAACAACCCACAGATCAGTTAAAAATAAACAAAATTCCAAACCCCCAACAAACAAATGGAAAAAAAAATCTTTTAGTGAGTTCTTGAAAGGAATCAAAGAAGGAAATCAAATACTAATCACTGCAGAAGTTCACAGTACAAAACCGAGTAGTCCAGCTTGTGTTTAGCATTAAATCTAACTTTAATTCCTTTTGATTACTACTGATGTGGGATAAACATCAAGTATTCATTGAACACAGAGGCCAAGGGTTCAATCCCCATATGGTTCATTCATTTTAGAGTTGAGCTTGATGATCGTTGTTGGTCCCTTCCAACTCAGAATATTCTATGATTCTGTGACTGGAAATTTGAATTGCATTTGAAGTGCAATTGAAAGGCATTTGAAATCTGCATTTTTTTGGAACTGGTACCTGCTGCTTGATCTTCCAGAGGAGAGTCACCAAGTTGATTAGGGAGATGATTCACCTCTCCTATGAGGAAAGGCTGAGAATTGTGATTATTCAGCCTAGAGAAGAGAAGGCTTTGGGGTGACCTGACTGTTGCCTTCCAGTACCTGAAAGGAACCCTAAAAAAAGATGGAGAGAGACTATTTACAAGGGCATGTAGTAACAGGGCAAGGGGGTATGGATTCAAACTGAAAGAAGCATCTTTAGATTAGATATAAGGAAGAAATTCTTTACTGCGATGGTGGTGAAGCACTGGAACAGGTTGTCCAGAGAAGCTGTGACTGCCCCAACCCTGGAAGTGTTCAAGACCTGCTTGGATGGAACTCTGAGCAATCTGGTCTAGTGGAAGGTGTCCCTGTGCATGGCAGGGGGGGTGGAACTAGATGATCTTTAAGGTCTCTTCCAACCCAGGCCATTCTATGATTCTGTGATTCCGTTCATGCTGATCACCATGGCATCAGAGTAACTTCTTCCCCCGGCCTTTTCATGTTAATCCAAAACAGAGAAATTGGATTTTATCTCCATCAGGTTGAAAATCCAAATTACTGAAAGCCAGGTTTTTAAAAGCAATGCTTTAGATTAGATTGTAAGTATGTCTTCATGACAAGCATTCAACTACTTTCTCTGCTTTCAGTTGGGAAGATCAGAATCCTGAGAACATGGAAAAGGCAGGATGTTTCAGATTCAAGACACTTCTATTTTATCTTGCTGTCTGGGTACTTTGGGATTTCTGAAGAATGTTTACTGCAGTGCTTAGTGCATGATTGGGACAGACCTACTCCTCATGGAGATTTGCTCCTTACATCCAGTGGCATGGGTTTAAAACCTGTGATTGGAAATTCTTACCCATATTTCATACCTTGTTGGGGGATACTTCTGCATATCAAGGGAAGGCTGAGGTAGAATTGAGCAGCACAAAACTAGAAAAGGTGAAGACCATACATTCTCTCTTCAGTTCTGTTGAGCAAGCCTTTCACTAGGCCCTTATCTCGGGTGGAGTTTACACTCAGATAAAGCCTGTGGAGGCAACAGGTTTTCACAGGTATGGGGAGTGGCCCAGCTGGAACTGCAGAACCACTGTGGGGGTTTTGAAGAAGCAAGCTATTTTTAAAACTACAAGGTAATTTCTTGGCCTGGTTGTCAGCTAGTAGAGCTAGGCTTTGCTAGCATGTCTGTATCCTGCATGTAAGGTGTTCTATAGCTCCTTTTACAGGAGAGGGAAAATAGCTCCTTTTACAGGAGAGGGACATGTGAATATTAAGTTCCTCTCCACTCAAGCTAGCCCTGTGGAGAGGTTATGCTGCAGTGAGGTCTGAGGCATCCCAAGAACCAACCCAGTGGGCTCTGCAGCTGGCTGGATTATGTCCCAGGTAGTCTTGTGCCCTCCTGACCATGCATAAAAGAAATTCAAATGGAGGAGAGTGTAACTGGCATTTTCTGGAAGTGAATGCATAACTGGATGGAATGGGAAGACTCAAGATTTGCGGCTTCATGCATTTGAGGAAGCAGAGGAGGTGTCTTTCATCTTGTATATAATGCCTCATTTCTTATTTCTTCCTTGTTTTGCCATGGAGGAAGTTTACAGAGCATTTCCCAGTACAGGCTAGAACATTCTTTGTTCTTTGTATTGAAACTCAAACCGTCAGATTATGAAGTTTAGCTTAATACTTTCTCTTTCTTTGCTTTTAGGTTTTGGGAAGAATTTGGGGGGTCATGATTTCTGAAAGCGGTTTCTAACTATTTATAGGAAGTGTACTTTTTCTCTTGTAAGAGACATTCAGAGATAATGACCTGATAACTGCTTGATTTATGTAACTTTTTATTTTAACAAAGTTGCAACATTCTTTTGTGCAACAGGAAGTACTACACTCAACATACCCCCGGTTTTCTGTTAGACTTCATAAAAATACATCCAGCTGTCAGAAAACTTGTCTCTTCCATGATGAAACAAGCCACTTTGAGGAAGGAGAGAAAAGGAATTTTAGTCAAGTAAAAGCTGAATTATTTACAGAGCCAAGCTCTTCTTTTAAAAGGACATGGGGTTTGTGTTTTTTGTTTGTTTGGATTTGTGGGTTTTATTGTCTTTTTGGTAAACTCTAGTTAATCTTAGCTAACGTGACATTGTTTCTCTCAAATCTGCTCTCCAGCCAGAGTGTCTCCAGCAATACCATAAATGTGGAGGTGAAACAGATCCTTGGTTGAGGTCTTAGACTTGTTGAAGCACATGTAACTACACATTCCCAAGTCTGCCACACTTCTCTAACTCACTAAGTAGTTTTAAATACTTCTTGCCTTCCACTCAGTTGAGCTCCCTGTAGCGATGCCTACACCACTTTTTGAGGGGCTACTCTGCAAATAACATTACGGAAGTGATCCAGCTATGTACGTAGTAGATCTTTGCAGATTTTGGCTGTGTCTAAAGCACAGCTTTACAGGTAGATGAGCTGGCAGCCAAGCACTTGGCTATAAGAACAAACTGTCAAGAGTAGGTGAAAGTCAGGGACTTGTTCACTCTGTCCTCCACTGAGGAAATGTAACATGTCCAAACAGGGCTGCTTTTCTAGTCAGTGCACCATCCAGTCAATGGATGGTGTTTCTGTGTCTTTCAGCTGGTTAGTATTTACATACAGGAACTTGTCCTAATGGAGAGGATAAATGTATTTTTGTCCTTCATAAACTCAGCCTTTTGGGGAGTTTAAAAAAACAATAACCTTGACTGAGAACACTTGCATCTTGTTACAACTCTCAGAGCCTCACAGCAGCGGTATGAAGCATCTCTCAATTGCTTCCTCTAGAAGGAATAGTCTCTGGTGACTGGCAGACAAGGTCACTTGAGCCATTAGTACTGCTACTAGTTGTAGTTGGTACTAATACCATTAGAGACCCTGCTACCAAGAACTTTGTTGACTTAACTCATCTCCTTCACTAACTACAATTTTAAGATGGGTCAGTAGATAGAAGCAAGCAGAAGCCCCCACCTGCTGCCAGTCTAGCAGTTGGTGGCCTATAACTTGCTGTTTGTCTCACCTGCTTTCCCCAAGATCATCATCTTCTAGAAACTGGGTGGGACAAGTATCTTAGCCTATGCTGTCATCACCATCTACAATGGCAGTTGTGTGTCCTTGTCTGCAAGGTGAAATTAAGAGATGAGTAGGTTTAGGATGTTGCCTACACCCATCACAGGTGATGTGGGACTCCAAAGGATACCTGGACCTCAAGTGAAGTTTTTCCTGCAATAGCTTTTTCTTTTTTACCTTTCTGTTGCAGGTGGTTAAAACCATAGGTTTGCGAGAAGTGTGGTACTTTGGTCTTCAGTATGTGGACAACAAAGGATTCCAAACTTGGCTGAAGCTTGATAAAAAGGTAACAGACTTCGGGCTAATTGCTGGCCAAAGGTTAAAGCTTGTATGTTTCCTGATGTGTTATTGGCTGCAACTTTATACACCTTGTGCCTGCTGTTGATTGTGCCCTAATTTTTATAATTCCAGGATTGTTTTTAGAGATAACATTGTGATCTCCATAGGTGAGGTTTGACATGGCAGAAGCCCTTTCACTCTCTGAGTTGCAGGAAGTGTTTGCCACATGTGCAGCAGCACCTCCATACTGTACTTTGTTGGGAGAAAGCAACTGCACTTTCTGTGGCTGGAGGAGCACCTTGGCTGACGATGGGCTTAGGCCCTACCTCTGCAGGATCAGTTGTGTCCTAATTGGAGAAGAGGCACTTCCAAGCTGCCAAGTGCTGATGCCTCTGATGTGCTCCTGTTTTTGTATTCCCAGTTCTTATGAGGGCATGAACTGCTTTTCTTGGTGGGGCAGTCGGTGACACACCTGTTTAATGTCAGGGGGCTGATCTCTGTCAAACACACACAGTACTGGGTGGGTTTGCCATCTGATACAGCGCAGTAAATCATTCTCCAGTGATCAGTGTTTGCTGTACAAACAGGATTTAACTGGCTTAGTTGGAAAACATAATGCATATCCCCCATGTTCTTTCCTACCAGTAAGCAGCCAGAATTAAGGAATTCCACTGCAGAGTTGCCAGTCACTCACCTCTTATGGCGAATGCCCCAAATTCTTTTTTCTGTCTAAAAGCAATCTATTCTATTTGCAAAAAAACACCTGCTCAGTTGTGGTGTCACCTCTGTCCTCAGGTTTCTGCTCAAGAAATCAGAAAGGAGAATCCCCTCCAGTTCAGATTCCGTGCCAAGTTCTTCCCAGAGGATGTGTCCGAAGAGCTGATTCAGGACATCACGCAGAAGCTGTTCTTCCTGCAGGTGAAGGAAGGGATCCTCAGTGATGAGATCTACTGTCCTCCTGAAACAGCGGTACTTCTTGGTTCCTATGCTGTGCAGGCCAAATTTGGAGATTACAACAAAGAGGTGCACAAGCCTGGATACCTCAATTCAGAGCGTCTGATCCCCCAAAGGTGAAAGAATTGGCTGATGTAGTCTCTTTTTTTATTTTTTAATTTGAATTTGATTTAAATGCGAAGAGTTTTATTTAAAAGCATCTTTGGTTTTGTTTTTTTAAATTGAATTGCATATAATTGGGTTTTTCCCTTATTTTATTTCTATCTGTCATACTTGGGTATGTTTTTGCTTCTTCTTGGGCTGTTAGAGAGGAAATACAGTTTTGCATTCAGCTTTTATTTCTTAAACACTGCTGCCGTGCTGGTATCAGTGGCAATATGAATGTTTCCTCTTTAAGAAGAAAAGGGCAGCATTAAGTCAAGAGTATGTCATTCTTGAAGAAGGTTCGGTTGTGTGTCCTTAATCCTAAAGTACAGTCCTAAAAAACTTGTGTGTGGAAACCGTGTCTTGCAGCTTCATAGTCCATCCCTACACAGGATCAGTGGATGTTATCAGACCAATGGCTTCTGTTTACCCTTCCTGATGACACTGCAGCAATGTCTTTTTTTTTTTTCCTGTGTCAATCAGAGAGAATGCCATGCTGGAATACCTGAAGATTGCCCAAGATCTGGAGATGTATGGAATCAACTACTTTGAAATCAAGAATAAGAAAGGAACTGACCTTTGGTTGGGGGTCGATGCTTTGGGGCTCAACATCTATGAAAAGGACGATAAGTAAGGCTTTTGTTTTTGCCTCTGATCTTCCAAAGAGGGCTAGTACAGGACATTTCTCATTTATAGGAATGCTTGTGTTCCAACTTTGGATCAGCAGGTGAAGCTAGGAAATGGGCTTTCACATCCCCTGTGCTTTCATGTCTTTCCTGACCTGCTAACGCTATCTGCTGTGTAAAGAGAGATGTCAGTTGTACGATGCCATCTTCCTAATCGTGCATGGTGGTGGAGCTGAATCCTGAACTGAGGAGTTTACCAGGCTTTCCCTTGAGTCAGGTCACCAGGTTTGCCATCAGTGGCAACAACACGACAACCTGACTAGGCTAAGGTTATCACTGGCTAGGCTAAGGTTAACACTGCTATCTGCAGTGTTCGGACACCTAAGGAACTCCTGTCCTGAAGTTAATGATGGATGTGTGTGCAGCTGCCCAGTTCTGAAAAAGGCAGATTATGGGTGGACACGAAAGCAAAGCTGGGTGACACCCAGAACCCAGGGAGAGGCTAACCTATATAGTTACTGTGAACAAGGAATGAAATGAGGGCTTACTGAAGTACACACAGTTTTAATCAGCCCTTCTGGTAAAGGCAGAGCCATTATTAATTGGATAGTAGGTGGGAAATGATAGACTACATCTATAAATAAACATAATAAGAAGGTGAGAACAGCTGTGTCTAAGCCTGCTAGTCTCTTCTAATACTCTGCAACTGAAGGATTGAAGGGAGTTAAAACAGATATTTTTTAGAGGGAGCATTGCTGTCTAGACTGCTTTCTTTTCCTCTCCCTAATGTTTCAAATCTTTGTTTCATGTCACTAATCTGTAACAGACTATCATTGAAATACAGAATGGATTTCACCTGTTCTACATCTTTGCCTCCAAAAAGTATTGAATGCAACCCAAATATTAATTGGAACTCCCTGGGTCTTCTGTTGATAAGGCAAAGAGAAAGGCAGTCTTTTCTGCAATGCTAATATGTGCTGTCACCCAGAAAACAAGGAGTGTCACTTGAAAGAAAAGTAGTTTCGCTCATGTAATACTTCAGTCTTGAATGACTGGTCTTGCTATGTAACCATGGTCACACAAACAGGTTTTTCGAGCTGCAGAAATCAGAGTGTAGCCATTGACTGTGAAGACCTATCGAGAGCATTTGCAAAACAAATACAGTGCTGGAATAAACTGCTTATTTCTGCTGCAACTCTTGCCACTATATAATTAAGTCTTTCCAACAGATGTGGGGACTAGGAAAACAGAGATGCCATTCGCATTACTGGTTCGTAGGTGCAAAGACTGGGGACTGAGGGCAAAGATGAAAAAGCAGAGATTTCATTGTTGGAGTTGAACATGAGGAAAATGAGGCTGTGCTGTAGGTGTGTGAGCCTCTATACTGCAGTGCATGTCAATGTCCTGTTTCTGGGTATATTCAAGCTTTTTTTTTCCTGCATTAAAGGGAAGAATCTGCATAGAACTTACTAACGAGTGAATTATTTTAGTTGTCTGACATACTCTATTATCTAGGATTTAAGCACTTGTACTAATGTGAGGGAGGCTGGAGTAATTAGTTCATCTTAGTCTAATCAAATAATTTTCTTTTACAGTTCTTAATGTTACACACACACACACACACGCACACACATATGTTGCATAATCTTGTTGAGTTAGAGGTTAGGGAGTGGATAGTTCTGAAGAGGGTGAATTTTATTCTTGATGTTTGAATTGAAATGAAGCAAGGGGTTTTTTTGTGCTTGGACCCAGCAAAATCTCTTGACGTAGTAGCTTTCCATCTCTTTGACAATGAGTGAAATTCCTCCCAAAATTGCTCTTTTTTTCTTTAATCAATGTGTTCCACAGAATTCTTACAGAGTTTGACTGGTCCACTGTGATGATAAACATTTCTGTAAGTGCTAAACATTAAATACTTGTGTCTTCAAATAATTTGCAAGAATAATTGTGACAGAGACACATACATTGAAGGGGCTAGAGAATAACAAGATTGCTTGTTGTCATTATCTTTTATGTAAGATACAATTATTACAATTATTAAAATTCTTAATCATTAACAGCTATCTCTAGAGAATATACCCTCCCTTGCTAAGAGAAAAATAAAAGAATAATAATGTAATATTAAATATAAAAATGAAATATTTCGTTGGGGTAATTAAAGGACTTTATTATAGTCAAATGCACAAGTCCTTGCGATGTTAGAACTTGCTGAAGAGCTGATCAGCTATGTGAAGGTGAAGTGTTGGAATGGCTCAGAAACATCTGATCTCATGACAAACTGGATGCTTTTTATATGCAAGACTCTGGAGAAATTAAGGCAGAGGAAAATCTCAAGTGTTTAGTGAGTGATATAGAAAAATTTCAAGCAAATCAACAGACCTGAACTCCTCAGCAGCGAGGAAGAGCTGGGAGTCTGAATCTTGCCCTTTGCTTCAGAGGGGAGCTTTTCAATAGTGGGGAGCCACGTGGCACAGCTCATTGCATGACCAGTGAGTAAAGTTCCGCTTGGTGACTCATGGGATGGGCTGAAAGAGCAGTTTGTATGGAAGAAAAGAACAGGGCCCTTTGTTACTAACCTTGCCTGTAATCTAGGGGAGGAGATATCTGAAGGGAGGGCGTCAAGAGGATGGAGCTAGGCTCCTCTCAGTGCTGCTGAGCAATGGGGCAAGGAGCAGGCACTGATGCACAGGAAGTTCCACCTGAATGTGAGGAAGAACTTCTTTACTGTACAGGTGACCATACACTGGAACAGACTGCCCAGAGAAGCTGTAGACTCTGCCTGACTGGAGGTATTCAGGATGCAATCCTGTGCCATGTGCTCTGAGATAACCCTGCTAGAGCAGGGGGGTTGGACCAGATGATCAACTGTGGTCCCTTCTAACATGACCCATTCTGTGAAACAAAAGAAAATAAATCTTCTCCTACCAATGGTGCCTGTCCAGCACTCCAGAGTGAAGGCAGCATGGAGGTGACTGGGCTAGCTGTAACACAGCAGGGTAGGTTTGCCTGTGGGTGCTGTAAGGTGTGGGAAGCAGCTCAGTTGCTTTGACTTATGCCTCCCATGATGTGTGAGAGGCCTGTGCAGGGAAGCACTGCACATAAGATCTGCATGCTGTGGATTTTGGGCCCAGAGTTAAAAGAAACAAGCTTAAAAGCAGCTGAGCGTGTGGCTTGAGTCCATCCCTGTTACATAGCCAAAGGTCAGTAGGGATGGCTGATGAGAATTACAAGAGACTCAGCAAGAGAGGTTACTGAGCTTCTTTTCCTACTCCCTGTGGTGTTCTAGTTCAATTACTATCTTCTCTCTTTTGGGAGAGCTTTGTGAAGCATTGCATTCCACCAAGTCTGTGTGTTGGAAGCAATAAAGGGGAAAAATGTTTATTGCATCACCCTTGAAACAAGTTTTTCTCCTTTCCAGACTAACCCCGAAGATTGGGTTCCCCTGGAGCGAAATCAGAAATATCTCTTTCAATGACAAGAAGTTTGTTATAAAGCCTATTGACAAGAAGGCACCAGTAAGTATGTCTAGAAGGGACTCCTGGATACTGCATAGGAATAACTGATACTGTTTCATCTCAAAATAAAATAGTCTTGGGAGAGGAGAGAGCCACAGATATTCTAGATGCAAAATAAGCATTTGTATTTAGAGTGTATTTAGAGCTGCTGTTTTTTCTGTGCAGCATAAATGAAGGGCTGATAGTGATAGCTAATGTGGAAAAAGATGAAGATTTTACAACTGCAGACTGGGTAACTTCGTGCTCAAATTTGAAATTCTTTGCTAATTCACTAGTCTGTGAGTCCTCTCTGCATATCTTTCAGTGCATGCAGGCTGATAGGTAAATTTTATTTTTGTTTTTTTCATTTAAAAATACCCAAACATTAAAAAAATTACAGAAGTAGTTCAAGTGCTACTGCAAAACCACATACATGTATATGGCTTCCCATCCATCACTGTCCACTTCCACATTACAGACAGAGTAAAATATGGTATTTGTTGACTTTCTGGACCACCAAGGTAAATCTCAGGGATATGACTTTGGTGGAGAGCTGAAATATAGCTGCATGTGAATGTTGCTTTTCAATACTTAAAAGTATGTTTTCAGAGTTATTTTAGTGAGGAATTATAAACTTACTTTGACCTGTTGAGAACATAAGGTGGAATAACTGGTATAGGTGGATGTCATTCTGTCAGTCTTGTGAAATTATTGGAGTAGTTGAGAAAGACCTCCTCTGCTCTTCCCCCACCCCAGTACTTGGCCTTGGTGGGTAAGTACAGCCCAGAGAAATAATAAGCAGCCTGGCTTTGGCAAAGGATGATGGCTTATAGATATCTCCAACAGAAAAAGATCCTCCCAGTAATTTAAAGGATACTAATGCACTGTGTGCTGCAGGGATTTCTTCCTTCCTCTAGATAAGAACCTGGGGGAGAGGAGCTTTTTTCTGTGATGCTGTTAGTGAAAACAACAGAACTCCCCAGAGACAGAAAGCTGGTCTGTCAGGCATGCTTTTCTCAATAGAAGAGCCTCTTGCATGTGTTGCACATAATTACAAAACACAGATCACAGCTTGCCACCCACTCCCCAAAGAGTCAATCTGAATTTGAAGTGGAAGGCTTGCAAAAGGCTGGTACAGAAAGGTGTTAGCATTGAAAACCTCAGTTATGTTTCCTCCTTCCCTGTCAATTGTTATTTTCCCTCTGGCTGACGGTATGTTTAAAGCTGTGCTTAAAATAAGCATTTACCTGGGCATGAATTTTGAGTATTCAGGAAGTTGTCTGGGTATTTTTGTGCACTTTTGTCTCCTTTTAAAAAGGCAGACATTATAACTACAGCGAAATACTCAGTCCACTCAAGCTGTAGGTTGGAAGGTCTCTTTTAATTTGGAGGATTCTATATGTCTGTGTTTAAATTTACAGTAATGTAAAGGGCAGAGTCTTGTGGCACCTTGCCCAGGAGAAGCTTTTTAATTTTTGGGCTTTGTCTGCCCATATACTCCAAGATCTTCGGCACATTATCTTTAAAGTATTGGGGTGCAATTCTCCCAGTTGTGTGAGATCTGGGGTAGGCTGGGGATGGGGAAAGAAAGGAATTCTTTTATATTTGTATTTGAATGTTGTGTCCCTTGATTATGGCCTTAAATGACAAATGTATGCACCATTCATACCCTTCGTATTTACTTCCGTGAAAGTGAGCTTTGCCTCAGCACAGGGACCTGTTCATCACAATGTGCACAAACTGTTTTTACAATTACTTGTCAGAAGTAGGAGGTTGGATGAGCAGCTTAGAGTCACAGTTATCAGGATCAGACCTTTGAACCTTGGAATGGCTCCGGCAGGATTTAGTGGGAGAACACAGCACACTGCCCTGACTGCCTCTTCTGCAGCCAGTGTGCATTAGGGAAATGCATTGGAGAACGTCAGTCTTTGTCAGCATATTCATCTTAATACCACTTAGTGAGCTTTTAATTGCTTAGTGTGACTTCTAGTTTTCCCAGAGATAGCCACAGTTGTGCTTCTGAGCTCAGGCAATTAAAAACATGGTCACTGCTTCCATGCCTGGTTCCATCTCTTGCTAACAGTGAGACAATCCATAGGAGAGTAATTCTGAGGAATGGGCACTGGTTTATGGTGGTAATGTGGCAGCTTGCCTACTATCTATGTAGTACACAGAAAAAGCACAAGGATGTTTATCCACTGTGGAAGTTTAGACTGTGTTGTAGATGTGTGTGGTTGTGGAGTCAGAAAAATTACCAGGGAGGTAGTGAACTTGGGCCCTTTCTTAGCTGGTTTTCTTCTAGAAGAGCTAGTCTAATTTATAGTTTCTGTAAAAGTCTGATTATAGGACAGCTAATAAGAAATTTGGGAATGTCCTTTTTACTGAACCAGAAATTTTAGGATATCGTGTGTTTTGTTACTGCCTGCAACCTTATATTCCAAATAACCCATGTGGTTGGTAGTTAAAAAAATATTTTTTATTTGACACTCTTCTGACAGCCAAGGTCAACTTAACTAGGAAATGCCACGGAATGGACAAGAATTATATTGAAAGGCATTTTCCTTTGAAAAAACACATGGGGCCTCGAATGTTGGTTCAGATAGATTGAGAAATTCTACAAAGTTACATTTGTACTTTGTGCCTTTGTGCTTTGTCTTTCAGTCACAAAACTGCAAACTGAAAAACTACTGAATACTAGAGGTCTTGTGTGCTGCCCAGATGTTTACCTACCAACCCAGCACCTTCTACAACATCTAACAATCTCCATTTAAATGAGACCTCATCTATCTGGGATTTTCTCTAAAAGATGCTTTATCTAGAAGAGTAACTTGCACATTCTATATAGACTTTAAATGCAGAATATAAATTACAATAGTTTTGGCTTCAGATGATATTTGCAGTCCCCGCTGCTGTGTTTAAATGGCCTTGCATGTATGTCCGGATTAGAATTAAATTAGTGACAAGATGTTCTGTCTGCAGTTAGCTGGGAGGAGAATGAGCATTTGGAAAAAACTGACTGTGGTGTTTCTCTCCTAGGACTTTGTGTTTTATGCCCCTCGCCTGAGAATTAACAAGAGGATCCTGCAGCTCTGCATGGGCAACCATGAGCTGTACATGCGGCGCAGGAAGCCCGACACAATTGAGGTGCAGCAGATGAAAGCCCAGGCCCGGGAGGAGAAGCACCAGAAACAACTGGAAAGGTGGGCTTGGATACAGGCAGCTGGTGTGGCGTGGCATGGCAGAAATAAATGGCACCCAAGTGCCAGGGTTCAGCAAGCAGGGGCAGGGGTCAGTAACGTGGGCGAGGCTCTGAGCCATCCCAGGCTCAGGAGGAGCACGTGTGGCCCTGGAGCTCTGGAGTATGGGCAGGGACTCGGGGTGTGCTGCAGTGGGACTGTTTTACCCTTCCTGCTTGGCCCTGTGCCCACACAGTCAGCTGTCCTGGCTGCAGCCTCAGGAGCTGCAAAAAATGTGCAAGTAAAGGCGCAGCAGGCTCTGGTGTGGTGGTGTGCACCTAGAGAAGGGTTTTCCTGACTCTGGAGTGTTGGCATCTGATTTATGTGCTGGGCCATGGGATGGCTGGGAGTAAGGAGAAGCCTTCACAGGGAGCACATAGGTGTACACTGTAAAGACAGAAGGAACTGGGAGATCTCTTACAGGCAAGGAAAAAGGAATAGCAATTCTACCACTGGCTGCAGGTTGCTTACGATTCAAGAAATCATGCTGCTTTTCTCCTCAACTTGTGGATTGTTTATCTCTGTTCTCTCAGGGCTGTTGTTTTCACAGCTCCTTAAGTTTCCATATGGCAGAAGTAACAAAGTTACACCTCTTCTGCCTTGCAGTACAAGTCCTCTTTTTCCTCTCTGTCTAGCAGCTATTTGGTATTCTAAATTTCTGTGGCAACCAACAAAAATACAAATGCTTTTATGAAATGAGGTATCTAAAACAGAGCAAAAATTCTAAAGAGATGAAGGAACAGCCTATTTCTGTCTTCTGGCTCCTGTTTCGTGGCAGCCACTTCCCCTTTGAGCTGCCTGGAGAGATTCCCAGCCAGCTTTCTTGTCTGGCAGTAGCTTGGGTCTGAAAGAGAGCTTTCAGCATGAAATATGTTTCTAACAGGAAACAACTAGAAGATGAAAAGAAGAGGAGAGAGACAATTGAGAGGGAGAAAGAGCAAATGCTGAGGGAGAAGGAGGAGCTGCTGGTGAGGCTACAAGAGTATGAAGTGAAGACTCAGAAAGCAGAGAAAGGTAAAGTATTTGTCCTGGCTGACCAGACCATGTATTGTGCTCCATAGAGGAGTTGCCCATGCCTTTCCTAAATCTGGTGACACTGGGATTGCTTGGCAAGACTTACTAATGTCTGTCTGCCTATACAGCTAAATGTACAAATGTGCATCAAAAGGATGAAAGTAGCATAAAATCTGCAGATTTTATTTGGAAACTGAAGGGCAGGAACTCTGTTTTCCGCTGTTGCCAGGAGGAATTAAGTAGCACAGCCTCTTCCAGCAGTGAGCAAGAGTTTAGCCCTCAAGTACTTTTTACTAACTCCTAACAGAAAAAGTGCTTTGGGAACAAATCTTTCCAGTGAAATGGAAGCTTCTGTTTCAATGCACAGAAGAACACATTGGAGGCAACAAAATCTGGTCCATGCAGCAAACTGTCAGTTACTGGCAGCAGAGTCATGTCAGTGTTGCAGACTTCAATGCAAACATCTCGCAGAAGATTTAATTACAATGTGCATCTGACTACTTCTGAATCCAGTTACTTGGTGTATTGTGCAAATAATTACTGTGAGGAGCACAGCGAAGGGAGTATTGCAAGCTGGAATAAGGTCCTCTCATGACTTCTGCAGTTACCTAAGAGACTGAAGTTCTTCAGCTTTGACCAGACTTGTGGACTAACCACATTGATCTGTCTCCTTGCAGAGCTGTCAGATCAGATCCAAAGAGCCATTCAGCTGGAAGAGGAGAGGAAACGGGCCCAGGAGGAGGCAGAACGCCTGGAAGCTGAACGTTTGGCAGCTCTGCAGGCCAAGGAAGAGCTGGAGAGACAAACTATGGACCAGATAAAGAGCCAGGAACAGCTGGTAAGACTCAGTTATTTTGAGAATAAGATACACAGGCATATTACTGTGCCCTTGAATAAGGCAAAGCCATCATGCCCAGGGAAAAACATAGTGCAGTGAGGTAATGGGCTGTCATTGTGGCCCTGGTTTCTATCCTAAGCAATCTAATTTTTAGTTCTTTGTTTTCCTATTCAGTCTCTATTAGAGTTAACAGTATTTTTTGTTGTGTTTGGTTTTTTGGTTGGGTTGGTGTTTTTTCTAAGAATCCTTGTAATTCCCATTTTCTTATTCAACAGGCTACAGAGCTTGCAGAGTATACAGCCAAGATAGCACTTCTTGAAGAGGCAAGGAAGCGTAAAGAGAGTGAGGTTGAAGAGTGGCAAATCAGAGTGAGTATCTGCTTTACCAGTTGCTCTAAAATTCTGTGCTTAAGCAGAGCATACTGTGGTTCTTAGCCTGGTGTGACTTCTTAAACATGTGGAAGCAAACATCTGTACAGCAGTGAAAAAGACCAAACTTGTCAAGAATGTGCAATATGTCTGCAAAAACAAAAACACCTTTCTTCCAACAACCCTTCAGTCAAAAGTCAGAATGAAAACCTGTATAAAACCTGAAAATGTGATCATTGTCTTGGAGCCTTAGGGAGAGACGGATACATGAATAAATGATTCATGTAATCCATGATAAAATGTCTGAAAACATTACATCAGTCAAGAGAATATGCTGCAAGCGCAGCCACACTGCAGGTATCTGCTTTGAGGGACATGTGCTGTTGTCAGTGGCTCCCTGATATCTGGATCAGGAGAGTTTAATAAACTGCTGCACTAAAACCACACAAGGCTCAGAGTGCTGGTGCTCCCAGTGCACTCTAAGACACATGGGAGGGCAGAACCACTGCAGCAGCAGGAAAAGTGACTGCCTGGTGTGTAATTGCACTAAAAATGCCAAATTAGATTCCCAAATTCTTACTCTGTGGAACCGGTGTGTCTCCAGCCTACAGCTCTTCAAATGGAGAACAGAATGATGATAACTGTAGCTTTCCATAGAATTTTTTCCTGGGTTGTTTTATTGGAAGAATGTTTTTTGTTCAGACCCCCTGCACAGTGGCTGATGATGACAGCATCCCTAGCAAAAAAAAAAAGTTCTAATAATGGAGTACCATTAGCTGCAGACATTTAATTCTCTCTTGCTTTTCACAGTAGATAGAAAAAACTAGGAAGATAAGCATTTAAGTGTTCATTAAGCTGATTTAAAGTAAGAAATGCATTTAAAATATTTTCCACTCTTTTCCCAAAGGCCAGGGAAGCACAGGAGGATCTGGTAAAGACCAAGGAGGAGTTACACCTGGTAATGACTGCTCCACCTCCACCGCCACCCCCTGTCTATGAGCCAGTGAATTACCACGTCCATGACAACTTGCAAGATGAGGGCTCAGAGTACTCAGCCTACAGCGCCGAGTTCTCCAGCGAGGGCATCAGGAACGACCGCAACGAGGAGAAGCGCATTACCGAGGCAGAGAAGAATGCACGAGTGCAGAGCCAGCTGAGGGTAAGGCACTGCTTGGAGCAGGCAGAGGAACTGAAACGATCAGTCCTGGACAACAGGTCCTTTAACCACTTGGTTAAACACACAAAACATGACAGTTTCTCTTTGTTTACAGTTCCTATAGAAGTCTGAAATAAAGGCTAGGTGTATAAAAATTACTCTCATTGCTCAAGCTTTGAGATTGCTTAAATCATCCATAATGGTTTCGGAAAGGCCAGATCATATCCATGTCACATCTCTGTCCAAAGCATAAACAACTATCAGCTCTCCCCAGAGAACACAACTGACAGGAGCTGAGAGCTTCTCACAGTAGCCTGTATTTATTGTTCTTTGTATTGCAGGCGCTGACAGATGAGCTGGCCCAGGCTCGCCATGAGGACAAGAGGACCCAAAACGATATCATCCACTCGGAGAACATGCGCCAGGGACGGGACAAGTACAAGACACTGAGGCAGATCCGGCAAGGCAACACCAAGCAGAGAATCGATGAGTTTGAGGCAATGTAAAGATACTTGTAAGAAAAGAGGACTGTGGGAAAGGCAGATCTTAATGCTGTGTTCTTGTTTTGGGGTTTTTGTTGTATTGGTTTTTTGGTTTGTTTTTTTTTTCTCTGAGGAGGGGTCACTGTATGACACTTAACCAATGTTCTCTAAACCCAGAGGTGTTTGAATCTCCCTTTTATTCTGAACCTGCTGTGAAATTTGGTATAGTTTAAAACTTATTGTACCACAGATCCTGGTAACTTGCTCATGCCTTTACTTAGTGCCAAAAGGCCTTATGTCACATCTCTCTTTAAGCAAGACAAATTTTAACAGGCCGTGCTTCTATTTAAAGATGCGTGTCCTGTGCAGGTGCTGGATTCAGCCTGGTCTAAAAGATAAGCATCTGTGGGTGAATTTTGTGCCATATGTCTTTGCATTATTAACTACAGTGTAAAGTGTAACAGCTGCGAAGACCGGTTGTGGAACTCAGGATTTTCAAGCACCTGTGTGTTGTACATCCACACAGAGGTGCTTGTAGATCCTGTTTTTCCCTTGGTCTTGATGCCCATGTTCCCCCTTCCCTTCCCCCACCCCCACACAAAAGAACTGACAACACCTCAGAACTTCTTTGTGTAGAAATTAGATATTTTCTAGTTGCTGCTCTCACCTGGAGAAATGGTGCAGTGATGGCTCAGAAGTGGCATAGGGACACTGATACCCTCTTCATGTAACAAGTAGCAAATACTCCTGGAATCTACGACACCACTGTGTTTGCATTCCAGCTTCATTACTGATCAGTTGTAGTGTAGTATTTATAAATATATATATAAAACATGCAATATGTGAATTGCAGTACTAGTTAAAGGGAAATAGTTTTGCTCTGTATATTTTGTTACTTTTCAGATTTAATAAGACTTGCATCTGTAAAAATGCCTGAACAAGACTGTAGTCTGATACAGTGCAGCTGATTATTTACTATAAAGCATTATTTGTAAAGATCATTTTTTTTACTTAATGAAAACTGTTATATGTACACATGATCCAATATATACAATTTTACTGCACCTATTTTTCTAACAAATTTTCTAATTTTTTTAAATGTTTGATTTAAAGTTTCAGACTCCAAAGATGAAGGGACTGCTTGTTTATATCACAGTTGTATTCTCTCTAGTGGAGAGCATTTCTGTGACCATCCTTCCCCCACTCTACCCTTTTTTCCTTGAAAATCTGTTAGAAAGTGAGATACAGTATGTTGTCACCTCTTCATTTACAATTTCTATGCTGCGTTATACTTGAGTTGAATCTTGTGTGGGGTTTTTTTATTTGCAGCAGCAACCATCTAAATAAAAGATCTGCAAAGTAACAAAGGCGATGGAGTGAAGTGTTTCTTGTGTGAGGTGTATTTTGAATAAGTTGTGCTTCTGCTCTTTTAGTTCCTGAGCTTAGCTTACAAGTCCCTGTGTTTTTAAATCTCAAATCCTTCAAAGCCACACTGACCAAGAAAGGAAGGGGGAATACTCCAAGTAAGGACTAAAACTAAAACACAGCAACAGTAGTTACAGTTGTACCCAAGAAGTTTCTGCTGACTGTAAAGCTACAGCCAAGGCAAGGCAAACTGACACAGGAGTTTGGCCCTAAGCTTGTCCACATGAAGCAATGATAAACTTAGCTAAACTTTTGTCATGCGCTGTTCGCCCTACGGATGAAGTTGTTAATTCTGTCTTACAGTGGCAGCTGATAAGAAGGGACTTGTTACACCCACCCTTATTCCATTGGCTGTAGTCCCACCCTGCTACTGACAGGGAATTTATACATTTAACTTTCTAAGCACCAGGCTATAGCACACATTTGAGAGACCTGGCTACAGGCCAAAGCTTTTTAGGATCACGTGAAATAAAGTGGCAGTGTAGTTAATGCTGAAGCAGAGGCGTTAGCATCACCCATTTGCAGCAAGCAAAGATAAGCTGGTTTTGTATTCTGCGGCTGAAACATCAATGCAAGAGGGAAACAATGTAACTTTATTGTTGTAACAGTTATTTTCTCAGAAGTAGTCCCAGTTGTCACTTAAATTAAAGAGTAACAGTTCTGCTAGGCCTGGAAATTGAAAGCTGCACATCGTCTGGCTCCTGTTGCTTTGACAGCATAATGCATCTCAAACTGAGGCCGTCACTCCTGAAGAAACATTATTATCCTTACACTCCAGCTAGAGATAGAGGCTAAAGCCTTAACTTCTGAAGAAATAAAACATTCAGAATGTCACACACGTTCAAACACAATTCTATTCCCAAAAAACTGGAATAGGTGCTATTGCAGCGTACCTTTCCCAGACCTGATGCATATGTACCACTTCAGTTTAAAACATCGGACATGGGACAGGAAAGGTTGTTGTGCGATAATCTCTCATGATTTAAAGTTTTCCTTATTTGAATGCAGTACAAGTGTGAAGTCCATCCACGTGTTTGGGTTGCGGAGCACTTCCTGCCATTGGAGCACTCCCTGAGAAGCAAGGTCCATAGAGCCAAAGAATTCCTCTGCAAGAAAGTAAAAGGAAAGATTAGAGTTACTTTTCACTTGGCCTTACCCAACTTCTGGCCAACCCTTTCACCCACTTCTACAGTAATTTTAGCTGTTCTGTAGCTCCCGAGGCGCTAATTGCAATAAATGCGATTTATACTTTTGAACTATTATTTACATCCTGTTAAAGTGGGAGCACTTTCTGAAGAGTGCAACCTGCAGCAAAGAAAAAGTTTTTGGCTGCATGACTGAAAGCAGAAGAGCAAGTGTGCATGCTCATAACGGCAGAATGGCACTAAGCCTCCTGCTTCAGTTCATTCCATGTTTAGGACTTGGATCACTTACAAGCAGATAGTCCCTGCTCTAGCAGAAAGGCAAGTGCTGGCTAGGATAAGCAAAACAACTTCATGAGGAAGCCTGCATGACATTGAGCTATCACTAGTGATAATACTCTGTAAACTGCACACTGATACCAAAACAACATCTGACCGACCCTCTCCTCTCAAATACAGAAACCCAGGGCACGTAACTCACTGGGAGAGGGAACAAGGGTGGGAGACTCTTGAGCAGCCTTCAAGGGACAATGCTTCCCTGCCCAACTACCAGTGAAACAGGGCCTATTGATTGAGCAGAGGGTTTCTCAGACATTGCTCAGCCCTGAGAAAGAAAGCTCACTCTTAGGTTAGAGCAGAGCCCAAAACTTCAAACATCCAACAGCCCCTTTGGAGCAACTTTCACCTCCTGTATTTCATTGATTGGATTGATTTGTGGATATAAAGTCATAAGCACAGACATAAGCAAGGTTGGAATCTATGAGAGGATTAATTCTCCTGCTTCCTTTTGATAGGAAGTTATTTAAAATAAGCCGATTCATAGAAAACAACTAAAGGAATAAGTCTTTAAAAATATGTAGAGCTCTGTGTGAGTTAGAGCACACAATTTCTGTGCTTGTCTCAGCATGGCTCTGACCCATAAAAATCACCATGGCAGCAAATGCTTTCCTGAAAATTTCCAATGACAACCTTGATCTTCTGCACAGACCTGAACAGAAGCCCCTGTATCAATTCTTGCATGATCAGAGCACAAGACTGGAAGTTGCTTGGGACAGAGGCTGGAACAGCATATGTAGGCACATGAAAGTAAATAATAAATTGCACAGGATAATTTATTATTGCTTGGGATGTAAACTAAATGCACTTTTCTCCAAATTACGTTCAACTTTCAGTGACAGAGAACTCACTTGCACCAAGCTTGGCACCTCCTAGGAACTGATCACTTGAGCTGAAAGTTGACTTGTGCCACACAGTCAGGTGTAGACATGATCGCTGTAGCTGAGCTGGGGTCACACCATCAAAGACAAACAAGTGTTTCCACTGTGGACAGGCTTCTTTCTTCACAACAGGAGACTTTTGCTTTACCTCTGCTTGGTCTGGAAGGATAAGACAACTTCCCCCCCGCCCCCAAAAGAAAAGAGTTCAGCAAGGTTACTGATTTCGCAACAAGAAAACAGACCATTTTGATAACCAAACAGAGGTTAGAGGGTTTAACTAGAGCCCATTGGTTTGCCTTAAATAGCAAAAAAGTTCAGCCTTAGTGAAAGGTAGAACATGGTGCTCTTGTGTTGATTTTGGGACCTGCACCTTTTCCTGCCAGCCTTTAGTGCAGTTTCCAGCCTGCCTTTAGCAATAGGCTAAAGGAAACAATAGGCTCTTGTAGTCTGCTTTGACTTTGCTGTCACTGACTGCTGAAGGAGTCTTTGCTCCACGTGCTGCTACCCAGTAGTGCCTCAAACCTAACTTTCAGGAGATGAAATGCCCACCCATTTCACCAAAAGTGAGGGGCACAACAGGTGAAATGGCTTTATGAGATGTAAGTTTACCCCAGTATCATCCTTCCAGTGGCACCTGATGCCTGACAGCAAGGAAGTAAAACAATCCCACGTACAAGCTACTCAGCACACTGAAGAAAAATTAAGTTCTTTCCCATCAAGAATGAAGAGGATAAAAGTTTTCAATGTATCCAGAGCAACACTTAATTCTGCAAAGGCACAGCTGAAACTGTAACAACAGCCTCTTTATTTGCACCTTTTTTCCCATCACTACCCTGCAAACTGCTGCTGTTCTGCAGACACCCAAGTGTCACCATTTCCAGGAAGTCTGGTTAAGAGTGTGGGCAATGCCACTTTCCCATGCCAGTCTCCTGCTGGAAACACGTTAACATGTATACTTGCATGGAACACATGTGACAGTCTCTATTTGAGGCGCTAGGTCTCAGACATACCCTTTAACAAAGGAGTTCAGCATTCCAGCAGATCTCAGCACGGGCAAGTTCTTGGCCCCTAATATCATAACTTGAAGCTGGCAGGTGAGAACTCCTTGGTCTTTGTTTCCTGAAAAAGGAGCACTTACCACATGAAATGCCCAGTTAGCTCAGCTCATAGCTTAAGATGCTGCTAAAAGTAAGCAGGGGAATGCTTAAGTGGCACTACTGAGATAAGGAGTCATAAGGCTGGACTAGGAACATTTCAAAGATTTGAATGTTTGTACAGTGAATGATTCACACACAAAGCAAACCAAGCAGTGAGTAGCAGGCTGCTTTGTGATCCCTGTTCCAAAGACAAAGCTTTCTGTTGTGTTTGTGAAAAGCAAATACAGGGCAGTACACACAGAAGCATTTCTCTGGAACAGTCAGAAGCAGTGGAAAGAGCCAAAGCCATGGTGTGGTACTGCTTCACTCACAGCTCTAGGCACAGAGCAGAGACCCAAAACACAGGCCTGCATAGGGAGGAAAACCAGAAGATACAGAGTTGGTAACTTTGGGGTCATTTGGAAAAGAAAAGGGAACAAAAATAACAAATCAGTTAATTAGAGCTTCCCCTTGGTCTCTACCTGCTGCTGTGGTCCTGACACAGAGCACTACTGGAGCTCTGAATGTCTGCACATCTCACTAAGGTCTAGGAGGTAAGGAAAAGAAGGTTTTTCCTATCCCTCCCTCCCAAAGTGTTTACTTCACTCCAGCAGCAGGTTCTTGCTCTGACATACTACAGCAATATTTAGTGTACCTTACAAGTTTTCATTACTAGAAACTGAATCCTGACTACACATTTTGAACCTAACACCTTTCAAGTTAAACAATCTCCCTAAGATGAGACCACTGGAAGAAGCCAAGGGTGCTGGTCTGGTATCTTTGCAGATACTTACCTTCCAAATTTTCCCCAAATTGGCAGTCTCTGCCTTGGACAGCAGAACTGCTGTTTCACCTCCAGAATAACCTCTACTGGTAACACATCATGACAGACACAAGTTTGGAAAACAGCTGGATGCAACATACTGCTGCCATTGTAATGTGCAACTTTTGTTTGCATTAAAAACAACAAATATACAAAGCTTGAAAATGTTTTGATTTTAAACAATCTAAGATATAAAACACCACAAAGCACCATTTGCTGTAGCTGTTAAAAAACCCATATAGGAACACTACATGGCCATTTTGCCAGTCCTTCATTGATCTCAATTCTTTTCTAGCCAAGGAATTCACAGAATCATAGAATCGTTTATATTGGAAAAGACCTCCAAGATCATTAGAGCAACTGTTAAGCACTTGTGGATGCCAAAATATTTTATACCTTCAAACTGGATGTTTTGATACTGGGCTGGTACCGACAGCCTTGCAGACATGAGGAGTTCAGTGCTGTACTGGATAAGATCATCTTCAGGCTTCTCAAGCTGAAGAAAGGGACATACAGAAGTCTGCATTACTGCAATCATCCTCACAGCTTATTCTCACATCCAATTTGTGTTTCCAACACATCTTGCTAATGGGCTGGATTG